TGCCGCTACTTTACACGCGTAAATATTTCCTCAAAATCTTCATTATAACGAATCTTGAACTTTTTACTTTATCACTGTAATTTGGTAACTTTCTATGTAGTTCTGTTTGTACATCAGATGCATTTACCTATTATTGTTTTGTGTGTGCATTAGATCAATTATCATGGCTATGGAATAATCAATAATCAGTATCCTTAAGCATAAATGTCCTTTTTCCGAAAACTGTATTCATTAAACCCCATTACTCGTTATTATTTACTCGTTATAGTGCAATTTTCAACGTAATGCTGTTATTAACTGTTTTCCAGTAATTTATTGAGATCTTCCACTAGTATAAGGTTTGTTAGCTTGTTCAGTTAGTATATTTTATGACCTGTTTATGTCAGTCGTAAAACTCCAAAGAACATTTCCTGTCCAATACAGTGTTCATAGTATTAGGTATTGGTTTTTCTTGAATATTTTAGTCTCCTTTTGTGTTAGTCGTGTGTTCATCAGAGCCGGCCTTAACAATGTCCACACATTGGGTATAAAATACAGAATAATTTAAAAGTATTAAAATTTTACAATATTTATGTTAATTATAAAAAATTAAAAGGGGGAATTATTTTATCATCAATTTTTTGTTTGCACCATCCAAGGCCGGCTATGGTGTTTACAGTTGAAATCTAGTTAAACTTCGATATCTATCTCCACTGATTTGACAGAATTTTTTAAAAAAAGAATCGTCTTTATTACCTTATATAACGTATCTATTAAATTTTGAAGTAATACAAATTTTATGTAAAATTCTTTTCAACCCATTTTTAATGTCTTAAAAACAAATCATTTATTATGTTGAATAGTTGCTAAGGCTTAAAGTTAAAGAAAAACATTTATAAAAAACATGCAAAATTTAAATTTCCATGTTATTTATACATTACCTACATAGAATAATTAAACCGTTGCAGTTTGCTTGTTTATGAACACATTTGTATAACATTTGGCAAATAAATTTATTTAGTAATAATCTATTAACATTTTACAAAAAAAATTACCCTTCGTTGTAGCAACTCGCGTGATAACTCATTAAACTTAGGTTATTATTTAACTTCGGAATAAACATGACTATTTAAGGAGATATTTTGATGAAAATCCAATCGAGCAAATAGAAATTCACTTATTCCGCGGGTTTTCTGTGGCTGGGGTATCTTGTTACTTCAGTTATACTACTTAAAACATTGATTAAGCAAATAAAATTATCCAACTATTGTAATACAGTGGAACAGTAAAGCGCTACTCATAAAACTCACACAGAAAAATAAAATAATACATTGTCGACTTAGGCGTACAGTGACACTAACGTCTTGAAACAAACATAAAAAATCGTTTTACAATAGGATGAAAAGTCTATAAGCTAATCGGCACAATAAATTCTGACACCTAGACTAAAATCTAAAACTACAAATGAAATTATTTGATCCAGAGGAATCATGGATCAGAGTTTCGGTAAAACATTACAATGGAACAAATTAGATATTATTCTAGTTAGTTGTTTTTTATATTTATGTTTTCCAACATGTTTTGCTTACGTTTATAGTTTAAGGTTGTGTAAATAGATTATTTTCATACACGATATGTTTATAAAGTAAATAAAATAGCTTATTTAAATTTTTATCTTTTTGAAAAAGCAGTTTCATTTTGTTTCCCTTTCGTTAAGGTTACCTCTCTTCAGATTATACCTCAGATTTCTCCACAGATAATTGACTTGATTGCCTCAATCATATTCATAAATATTATATACTACGATGTATTTTACAATTGGAATAGCTCAAAGTTGTTGTGATGTGCATAGAAAAAATATAATGCATTCTTATTTGTTGCAAGTTCCTATCAACCATATACATTTTGCCATATAACATGGTAATTTAGGGGACTGCCTAAATCACACTCATACTGATTATTCTACACATTGTATATTACCATTAGAATACCTCAAAGTTGATGTGATGGACTTAAGAAAAAGATTGTGCACTTTTTCCTGATGCGAGTTCCTATCAACCATATACATTTTGCCATATAACTTGGTAATTAAGGAGACTGCCTCAATCATATTTATACTGACTATTCTAAACATTGTATATTACCATTAGAATAGCTCAAAGTTGATGTGATGGGCTTGGGAAAAAAGATTATGCACTTTTTATGTTCGGAGTTTTAATTGTTCGCGTTATGTTAAGCCTTAGCTACGTATAATGTACAGTACGGTCTCAAATATGCCTTTTAAAATACGTCAATTAATTAGTTTTAACTTGTATACACTTTTTATCAATGTATTATTGACATTATATAAATATAAAAACATCATTTCGCATCGTATTGTCATTGATTTGTGTTTCCGACATCCCTGCAAAACACGTTTGTGGCGTCCGCAGGTGTACCAACCCACATCTATTACGAACCGAAACTTTTCCTGACGCAAATTCCTATAAACCATATAGATTTTGCCTTATAGCTTCGTAATTCACTGGACTGCCGCAATCATACTCATACTGATTATTCTATACATTGTATATTAGCATTAGAATACCTCAAAGTTGATGTGATGGGCTTAGGAAAAAGATTGTGCACTTTTCCTGACGCAAATTCCTATAAACCATATAGATTTTGCCTTATAGCTTCGTAATTCACTGGACTGCCGCAATCATACTCATACTAATTATTCTATACATTGTATATTAGCATTAGAATACCTCAAAGTTGATGTGATGGGCTTAGGAAAAAGATTGTGCAATTTTCCTGACGCAAATTCCTATAAACCATATAGATTTTGCCTTATAGCTTCGTAATTCACTGGACTGCCGCAATCATACTCATACTGATTATTCTAAACATTGTATATTACCATTAGAATACCTCAAAATTTATGTGATGGGCTTAGGAAAAAGATTGTGCACTTTTCCTGATGCGAGTTCCTATCAACCATATACATATTGCTATATAACTTCGTAATTCACTGGACTGCCGCAATCATACTCATACTGATTATTCTATACATTGTATATTACCATTAGAATACCTCAAAATTGATGTGATGGGCTTAGGAAAAAGATTGTGCACTTTTCCTGACGCAAATTCCTATCAACCATATAGATTTTGCCTTATAGCTTCGTAATTCACTGGACTGCCGCAATTATACTCATACTGATTATTCTATACATTGTATATTAGCATTAGAATACCTCAAAATTGATGTGATGGGCTTAGGAAAAAGATTGTGCAATTTTCCTGACGCAAATTCCTATAAACCATATAGATTTTGCCTTATAGCTTCGTAATTCACTGGACTGCCGCAATCATACTCATACTGATTATTCTAAACATTGTATATTACCATTAGAATACCTCAAAATTTATGTGATGGGCTTAGGAAAAAGATTGTGCACTTTTCCTGATGCGAGTTCCTATCAACCATATACATTTTGCCATATAACTTCGTAATTTACTGGACTGCCTCAATTATATTTATACTGAGTGTTCTACACATTGTATATTACCATTAGAATACCTCAAAGTTGATGTGATGGGCTTAGGAAAAAGATTGTGCACTTTTCCTGATGCGAGTTTCTATCAACCATATACATTTTGCCATATAACTTCGTAATTTACTGGACTGCCGCAATCATACTCCTACTGATTATTCTACACATTGTATATTACCTTTAGAATACCTCAAAGTTGATGTGATGGGCTTAGGAAAAAGATTGTGCACTTTTCCTGACGCAAATTCCTATCAACCATATACATTTTGCCATATAACTTCGTAATTCACTGGACTGCCGCAATCATACTCATACTGATTATTCTACACATTGTATATTACCATTAGAATACCTCAAAGTTGATGTGATGGGCTTAGGAAAAAGATTGTGCACTTTTCCTGATGCGAGTTCCTATCAACCATATACATTTTGCCATATAACTTCATAATTTACTGGACTGCAGCAATCATACTCATACTGATTATTCTACACATTGTATATTACCATTAGAATACATCAAAGTTGATGTGATGGACTAAGGAAAAAGATTGTGCACTTTTTCCTGATGCGAGTTCCTATCAACCATATAGATTTTGCCTTATAGCTTCGTAATTCACTGGACTGCCTCAATCATATTTATACTGAGTATTCTACACATTGTACATTACCATTAGAATACCTCAAAGTTGATGTGATGGGCTTAGGAAAAAGATTGTGCACTTTTTCCTGATACGAGTTACTATCAACCATATACATTTTGCCTTATAGCTTCGTAATTCACTGGACTGCCTCAATCATATTTATACTGAGTATTCTACACATTGTATATTACCATTAGAATAGCTCAAAGTTGATGTGATGGGCTTGGGAAAAAAGATTATGCACTTTTTATGTTCGGAGTTTTAATTGATCGCGTTATGTTAAGCCATAGCTACGTATAATGTACAGTACGGTCTCAAATATGCCTTTTAAAATACGTCAATTAATTAGTTTTAACTTGTATACACGTTTTATCGATGTATAATTGACATTATATAAATATAAAAACATAATTTCGCACCGTATTGTCATTGAATTGTGTTTCCGACATCCCTGCAAAACACGTTTGTGGCGTCCGCAGGAGTACCAACCCACATCTATTACAAACCGAAAAAGCGCCGATGAAAAGAGCCGCTAACTTCACGACGGTAGCGCCGTCGTAATTTTAAGCCAAGTATAATAATAGTTATAGCAATAATATGGCTTCTTATGACACCAGACTCACGCAAACATGGTGGCTGGCGACACGCATCTTTGACATTCAGTGCTACCTCCAGTTAGAATTATAGCTCAGTGTTTATGACATCTAAGTATCTTAAAACTGGTGCTGAAATAAAAATCCAGCGCCTGCAGGATCAAACTAAAAAAATGGGTTGTCTGCTCCTTCTCTGTTTGTTTTGTTTTGTATCTGATGTGTAAATTATTATTAGAGGTTATGTGTGTATAATGCCCGGTGATTGAGATTATGCTAATAATATATGGATTCGTACTTAAGTTAATATACTTAAAAATAGGTGAACAGAATAAAATAAAGATACAACTTGAAGGTTAATCTTAAGCCCATCATCTACTAATAAATTATCGGTAGGCCTAGTAGCACTTTGTAAACCATAATGTTTAATTCAATGAAGCTGTTGTGTAGAAGAAAGCAAAAACCACCTACTACATTTCCTATGACTTTTACAAGGAACAACAACAATAAGAAGGAAAACTTATCGGATTTATGGGTGAGTAAATATAACTGACTTTAGAAAAAATAGACATAGGCTAATTATTGTAATCCTGCAGTCTACAGATAACCCTACTTTCGTAATACATGGATGCCACTTATTTTAGAGGGATTTTTATTTATTTACTTTCCATAAATATACTGTCAGTATATTAATTAATTAGGGCTAAATTATCTTTACTTATTACTGCACTTTACTTTAGGTCCTACACAAACAACTGAATGAAAATATAGAATATTCGATTGTTTCATTCGATATATCGTTTGGTTAGTTAGGTCAGGTTAACCTTACCTAACTAACCAAACGATATAGAATAATCGATATATCGATCGATATTTTCATTAGAATGAGTGTAGGACCTGAAGTAAAGTGCAGCCATTATTTGTAAGCTATGTTTTTCAATATATTATTAATCAATATTTTCAATCGACAGTTTCAATCGATATTAGGGTTGCCCAGTTAAGAAACTGTACTCCATGATACCACCCCTTTTAATGAAACTTGTTGGCTACAATCCTCCGCTTGCATTTTGACTTGAAACAAAGGCATGAAAGCATATGTTTGTCATGAATGAAACTGCTTAAGGTTTCTAAAATTGATTGTTAACCATCATATTTTCAAAGCTGTTCTTAGTCCTCTCCAGTTAACAAGGAGTACGGTACAGTAATTGATTAGTTTAATTAATTAACTAGAGGACCCATGCTGCTCTGCAGCTTTAAAATAAATATAATATCTGAGAAATAATTAAATTTATGATTTTTGATTGAGTAATACAGTAGGCCTATATTGAGCCTAACTGATTTAACAATCGATAGCTCAAATTAAAGCGTATAATTTACTGGTTATTTTGAGTCTATAGGACCCGTGCTGTTCTTCTGCAATAAAACAAATATAATATCCGAGAAATAATCAAATTTATGAGAAAAAATATACAGAAAAAACATTACCAACACTGAAGCTATTAATTTTTAATCATACCTCATGAATAATAATTTTTATGTTGGTTTCTCCCCTTGCGTTTGCTTGAAACTCGTACGATTTGAATAAATAATAGCTTAGATGAAAGCCAGTATTTCACTGAAGGTTCTTAGACTAAAACATATAGGATTATAAAATTATAACTGGTGAAGGTACATCTTAAATTGAAGTAAGAATTAGAAAATAAATTAAAATTATTTGTTTTGGTCGAGTAATACAGTAGGTAAATATATGCCGATACTTTATGAGAAAACTTGGCGTGCATACCTTCAATTTGAGACCTCAATCATAAAAATTGGTCTTGTAGAAGAGCCAAACGAACTCCGGAAAAAACCAAATTAAGCTCCCATAAGAAATACATGGAGAGCGAATTTCGTATAAACCGAGTGATATTATAGATAAATATATGCCGATGCTTGATGAAAAATCCGTGCGTACATACCTTCAATTCGAGACATCAATAATGAAAATCGGCCAGGTAGAAGAGCCAAACGAAATCGGCAAAGAGAAACCAAATTTAACTCCCATAAGAAATACACGGGGAGCAAATTTTGTTTACCTATACACCGAGTGGGATTATAGATAAAAATATGCCGATGCTTGGTGACTAATCTGTGCATGCATACCTTTAATTTGAGACCTCAATCATGAAAATCGGTCGGGTAGAAGAGCCAAACGAACTCGGCAAAGAGAAACCAAATTTAACTCCCATAAGAAATACATGGGGAGCAAATTTCGTTTACGTAAATGCCGAGTGGGATTATAGATAAATATATGCCGATGCTTGATGGCTAATCTGTGTGTGTTTACCTTCAATTTGAGACCTCAATCATGAAAATCGGTAGGGTAGAAAAGCCAAACGTAATCGGAAAAGAAAAACCAAGTTTTTTTTAATGTCTAAGATTGTTTCCATGAAGGTTTAATGCTTTAACTTATTAATAAAAGGTTAAATTACTTGTGTCCGCCGGTCGATCCTGTAGAATCCTATTGCAGGATATGCATTTCGGCGACGTTAAATCGCCATCATCAGTCCTTAATATAAGAGCTTGATCTTCCCCATTAGCTATTAAAAGCCTAAAAAAATTAGCTATACAAATTTTATGTCCGCAGTAAAAGTAAAAAGTAGGCCTACCATGTATTTATGTGTTTCGTCATGTGTAAAATTCGTGTACGTGTTTTCAAAACTTTAAGACGCACCTAATGGGGAAGATGAAGCTCTTATTAAGGACTGATGATGGCGATTTAACGTCGCCGAAATGCATATCCTGCAATAGGATTCTACAGGATCGACCGGCGGACACAGGTAATTTAACCTTTCATTGATTGTCAACCGATCCGAAACAACAACAAACAACATAAAATGAAGTTTAACTTATTACTTAATTCACACTTTAGCCTTTACCTGGGCTAGGTCTATGTAAGTAATAATCTGTGGTGTAGTCGTAAACTTTTCAGTGTGGAAATGCTCCCCAGGGATGCAGAAAAATTTGGGTTGCTTATGTCAGGTTCTTTGGAAAATGCAAAGTGGGAATGTCGTTCCTTTGCGTTCCCTCTCTTCTTAAAACTGTTTGTTTGAAATATTAGGCTTCATCACTTTAATTATATAAATTTATATCAATTGATTGATTGATTATTCTGGTTAAATACCATGATAAGCAATAGTTTTTGATAACTGTGGTCTTAATTAGTTTATTGCTTGAAACTATTTTAAAATTAAATTGGTGATATAACTATAAGTAGCCTAGGTTTAAAATAATAAATGTCAAAACACACTCTACGTAGATAGAAACATGCTTTAGAAAGTACCTAACATTTTCTTCTGCTGACCTATAACAATATCAAATACATCCCGAGTACCTATAATTTTAGTTTTGTTAGAATTGAAGATAATTCAGAAGTAGCCTAACTATTAATAATATACTAGTGTTGGGAGGCCTAATTTGTAATTATAGTTACTGTTTTTTCCTTTAACTATTTGATGATTATTGTTACAGAATGAAGAGTTAAACCAAAGTACAAAAATCAAAATAGAAGAGTTTTGGAAAGACAAAGTGCACTATCCAGAATTTGATCCTAGTAAAACCAACAACTATTATGTTCTGTCCATGTTTCCATATCCTTCTGGTAATCTGCATATGGGACATGTACGAGTTTACAGTATAAGTGACACACTAGCACGCTTCCACCGGATGAATGGCAAGAATGTAAGTTCGGTTTGATGTTTTTGGTCTATTGGGCCTTTGCGAAAAAAACTACTTTTGGGTTGTCTCAAGTTTTTCGGCTAGTAAGCTGTTCTGGCTGTGGTCTTTTGTACATATCAGCTGAGAATGATTTCACATGGGTTGTCAGATAGATAGTTTGGCAAATTTACAGGGCGTTATTAAAGCACTGATACACAAGAGGGCCTATCACTTGCAAAAAAAATTTTTTTTTTTAATTAGTGTCTGGGTAGTGTTAATACCTTGTGAGCAACTTTAAACAAACTAATTCTGAGCTGTCGAAAAAAAAGATTCTATGAAGCCAGTATAAAATAGGTTTACGTACCTTACGTCGTCAATCCTTGAATAGTCTTACAAGCGACTAGTTTTGAAACTGACGTTTCATTTTCAAGCTTTTTTGGCTAACATAAAATTATTGGAACATGATGTCATCGTCAAAATACAAAAATAAAACATTTAACACGCAAGAATACATTAAATTACAGATAGATGCGCGGCCGGCCATAACACTCACGACGGACACGACAGGACTACCGACTGCCACGTCAGTTTCAAAAATGAAACGTCAGTTTCGAAACTATAGTCGCTTGTAAGACTATTCAAGGATTGACGACGTAAGGTACGTAAACCTATTTTATACTGTCTTAAATCAATCCTAGAGGCAATGCTGAATAATATATGAAGCCATTTGATTTACTAGGCCTACTAAAACTATTTTTTGTATATCCAATGGAGTTTTTTTAATTTAGCAAAATGTTTCAACAATTTCATATAGGCATAAAATAATTTTCTTTTTTATAATCTTTTTCATAGCTTTCAGCTGTTGTTTTTTTTTTAGTTAAAGACTTATACTTTCGTACATTTAGTTGTTGTACATTTAGGTTGGTCTTGTCTCTCTCGTGTCCAGTATCACATTTTGAGCTCAAAGGCTTAAGCAACTATTATCAAACTATTTATGCTAAGCAGAAATTTAAATTCCAACGCTGAATTCCATCAGAAACCAAACAAAAAGAGAAAAACACAAATATTCATTATTTCTATTTTGTTTTAGGTGCTGCATCCTATGGGCTGGGACGCTTTTGGTCTACCAGCAGAAAACGCAGCCATAGAACGGGGGTTGTCTTCTGAATTGTGGACGGCCAAGAACATACAGACTATGCGTGAACAGCTGAAACAGCTTGGGTGTACATTTGATTGGAGCAGAGAAATTACCACCTGTCACAAGGAATATTATAAGTTCACTCAGATGATTTTCTTAAAACTATACGAAAAAGGTTTAGTTTACCAGAAAAAGGTTAGTTAAATAAATCCTTTACTATACTCAGTTAAAATAAAAATGATTTTTGAACTTAGTAGGTAATCAGTCTGTTGTAATCTAAACACATGAATGAACACATTTGTGGTTTCCAATTCCATTATTATTCTGGTTAAGAACTAAGCGATTTGCTAATATGTTCCTTATTAAATATAGATCGTCATGAGTATCAAACATTGTAATATTTTGCCAATTAGCCTAAATGTTGAGTTAATTATGAAATAACAAAAACATAATTCAGCACTAGAGTATATGTAAGATGCAAATGCCTAGGTTACAGATTTAAACACTATCTTACTTAGTTTCGTACCTATGTAATGTATTTATAGAAAAGTTAATAATAATGATTTGCAGGCGCTAGTCAACTGGGATCCCGTTGACAAAACAGTATTGGCAAATGAACAAGTGACTGAAGATGGATACTCGTGGCGATCGGGGGCCAAGGTGGAGAAAAAAGTATTGAAGCAATGGTTCATCAGGACTTCATCTTTTGCTAAGTATGTTTAAGTTCATTCTATTTACATTTATTTTTCTTCCCAACCTTTTATAAAACAATTATCTCCTTTCATTTATTTAATACTAATTTAACTAAATTATGATTCAAGGGAATAATTATTGAACAATATTTTTTAATAGCCCTATAGCGTTCAATGTTACAAACAGTTTTTCTAAATACTTAAAAAAAAACAAGTAATGTTGTAATTAATAGTTTGTTGTAAAATTAGTAACTTAACATTAACTTGCAGGGCATTGTATGATGGCCTGGATCGAAAAGATTTAGAAGACTGGAAAGACATCATAGATCTACAGAAACATTGGATTGGAAAATGTGATGGAATCAGCTTTGAGTTTCCCATCAAAGACAGACAAGAGGAAGTTACTCTTTGGACTGAAAAACCAGAACATTTAACTAAGGCAAAGTTTGTCGCTTTCAACCACGGAAGTGTAATGGACATTGAAAACGAAGGCAGCGGCAATCGCAAACTTGACATAGAAATAGTAAACACGGTAACAGGAGATTTGTTACCTGTTTTCATCACAGATCAATTACCGTTCTTTGAAGGTGCAGACGGACGGGTTGGTATACCCAGTGAGTTTGAGTGTGATTTCGATTTCGCAAGAAAAGTCGGAATTATTTCCCCATTGGCAAAGTTTGAGCCAGAAGAGAAAAGGATTTTTTCAGATCGCAAACATGTTTTGGAGAGAATAAAAGGCAGGGCTACAAGCTCTAAGATAAAAGATTGGCTAATTTCTAGACAGAGACATTGGGGAACCCCCATTCCCATGGTGCATTGTGAAAAGTGCGGTGTTCAACCTGTGTCTCATGAACAACTTCCGGTGGTTTTGCCTCAGATGGAGAAAGTTTCGGAGAGAGGCTCTAGAATGGTGTGTTCTCAAGACTGGCTCTCTACTTCTTGTTCCAAGTAAGTGGGTAAGTCACATCCTGTCCTCGTTTTATAATGCTTTTTTGGTGAAGCCAACCACCAATTACAAACTTTGCGATATCTGGTGACGCTCAGTAGTTTGACATTATGTAATCCAACACTGTAATAAATAACAGTATAACCAATATCAGTACAGTGCTGAACCTTTATTCGTGTTGTGACAGAAGTTTTCTTTCCAGTCTAATTTAACTGTCTTTTGGGTCATTACGTAGAGAATTATTGCTGTGCTTTGTTTTTTATTCATTCATCAATTAATCTTAAGTACCCAACTTTTAGAGTGATCAAATTTATTTAATACAAATAACTCAATAACCCTAATTCAGTTCAAAAAATATATATCGAAAACTTATTACCTACATATCCAGGTATGAAGATAAAGCTTTACACGAAAGTTAGTAAGCCAAATCAATTTGTTTGAATACACCGTACAAAAATAGTACTTTTTGTAAACTAATGCATAAACTACCTACTTACTAATTTGATACAGTGAGGAGTAAGGTAATGATGACTTGAGGCATTTAAGATGACTTTTATAAATTTTCTATCACTTTGGATAATCCTATTTTTTTAAAAGTAATCTGATGCAAATACTGTATAAGTATCTTTGTCTATTACTAAATAAGTAATCTTTGTCAAATACTGTATTTGACTTTGTCTATTGCCATGTGCTTAACGACAATAAAATTCTTGATTCTTGATACCCCTCCACCACCATAGTCCCTTAAGTGTCAAATCATCAAGTAATACAATGTTATTGGTAATCCGACACCCTCCCACCAACCCGTAAACATCCTATTGTTGTGAATTAGATTTGTTTTATTACTGTAGATGTGGAGGAGCTGCAACTAGAGATGTGGACACAATGGACACATTCGTGGACTCGTCCTGGTATTATCTGAGATACACGGACCCCCACAATGACAAAGAGCCGTTCAGTATAGACACAGCCTCGCCGTTGATGCCTGTCGACATTTACATCGGAGGAAAGGAGCATGGTAGTTTACTAGACATTTTATCTTTGCATGAACAAGTTGTGATGTGGTTAAATGTCTTGAGCACTTTAACATTTATCTAGGCTATTCATACAATACTGTTTTAAGGTACTACCACTGATTAGATCCATAAATATATTCAAGAAAATATTAATTCCTTGAATTCAGTCGATTTTGGAATATTATTTATAGGTCCATCGATGTATTTTTAGATTGGTCAGAGGGCCTGTGTCTGTAAGAAACAATCAACCACTGTCTTGAAATTTGGACGTTAAATTTAAACATTGATATGAAAATAAAATATTAGTAAAAAAAAAATTACCGCTTATCAACACACACAGTTAAATATCAAAATATGAGATGTAAAGATGTAAAATATTTTATGATTTTTACTAATGATTTAATAGGTTTAATTGGCTATCAAGTCCTTTAGCAACCTTAGAAATAGTTGTAGGAATTTTTACTTTATTACAATTTGAGGTTGAGCCTAATCAAGATTGAGTTTAATGATGGTAGCTTGTATCTGTTAAACTTAGAGGTGTGCAATAGGTTCATAAATTAATGTGGATAAAACAAGGCAAGTTCAAGCTTAGTTTGCAATGGCAATCTACTGTGCAACAATACAAAACACCAATACTTCATACATTTTCTATTGAAATGTAAATGTTTCAGCTGTGTTGCATCTTTACTACGCTCGCTTCATGTCGTATTTCTTCCACTCTCTTGGATGGTTGAGGGACCCGGAACCTTTCAAACGTCTGGTAGTCCAAGGCATGGTGATGGGAAAGACATACAGAGTTAAAGGATCAGGGAAGTTTATACCTGCTGCGGACGTTGAAGTCAAAGGTGAATTCAGCTCGAGGTTGATCTAGTTCAAATTTCAGTGAACTTAACAGATAATTTAAAGGAAAGCCAAGAGGCTATTTGGGCATATTTTTAAAGGGAAGGTTCATATGACTTACCCGAGAAAATAACAGGACTAATAGTTACACAAGAAAAGTCCTATTACAGTACTTACAGTTACATATAGTTTTATTCAGAACAGTAAGAGTATTATTCAATTCAAAATTATTACTGGTTGTTCTGCCCGTGCTTTGCAACGGGGCAAGAATACTTAAGAGAATAACGTGGGTCTTTAACTACTATAAAAAGCAGTTCCTTACACTTAGCATGCAAATTATACAGGCAAATCTCAAATGTAGGCCTATTTATTGCTCATTTAATGACAATCTGTGTGTTTGCATTAAACTGTGTGGCAGAATCAAAACTAATAACTTTTTTGTCATACTGCAGCAAAACAGCAATTTTCAATAAATGTGTTGCGGGTCTAAAGTAGCTCCTTTACTCCCAAGGGAGTAATAAGAAATTTTAGTCCGTAGGGAGTAAAAGTCAGCTATTGTAAACACAGTTGTATACTTGGATTGTAAGCAATAGCATGTATCGAAATATTCAAAATTATGCATCGCTCGTTTTTATCGGTTGTAGCTTTTTTTTGCATTCTTGTTAACAGTTCCACATATTGATGGTGTAATGTACACTAACAGAATCGTAATAGTCAATATGATTGAATCTATTACTACACAGCTCTTGTTTCCATCAGTTAAATTTAAAACAAGTCGTTTTGAGCGGTTTACATGAACATTATTGTTGTTATTTAACTTGGTTTGCTAAAATAATGGCGCAATATTACAAAAAATATAGTTCATATCACAGGCAAAGTCTTTTCAACCCTCGCTCAATTTCTGACGATGGCTTTGTCTCAATCGTAATCGTAACACTTGAAATTGGGTTGAAAAAGTAACTTTACGCCCTTGTGATGAAATATACTACATTGTAATGTAAACATCTACACTGAGGATCATAAAATTAAATGAACAAACTATAAATTAAAATAAATCTAACAACTGATGCATCTTCAATATTTAAAATGTGATGATAGTTTAAAAACTAAACAAGGCCTATCATATTTTACCACTTTCAGAAAAGACTGTTACGGAGAGATCGTCTGGAAAGCCAGTAGTAGAGTCGTGGGAAAAGATGAGCAAGTCCAAGTACAACGGTGTGGAGCCAGGTGAGATGATTGAGAAGTATGGAGTGGACACTACGAGGCTACTAATCAACGGAGCTGTCGCCCCCACCTCCCAGCGTAACTGGGACGAAGCTAGTGAGTGATAAAAAAGTATCAATCAAGATAAGGACTAATAGGGCCTATTAGCGAATTTCCCACAAGTTATAGGGAATAAGCTATTTTATTTCAACTCAGGCATGAATGAGATGCCTCTTGGGGCTTTGTTACTGACTAAGATCAGCTATCCCATTAGCCAGGTCTATTCATTAATAGTCCAATGTCCTGATACAAACAAATAGGAATCTTGTTCTGAAGGGTCTGAAATAGTTTTATTTTTGTTATTTTCATCACTGTAATTTCTTTAAGGAATAGTGAATCTATTTTGCCATCATGGGATGTAGACTGGACTTTTATGCTTCCTTGAGGTTTTATCAAATGGTATCGAAAGTTCAAACATTATATTCACAACTTAATTTAAAACAACATTTGTTTTTAGTTTGAACTTTTAAACAAAATGCAATATTTTAACAGCATTAAAAATCAGTGGTAAGAATGATTACTAATAACTAATCTCAAATTAAAAACAGCCTTGAGATCCGTACAGTAATATTAAATCAAAAGATAAAAATATATTGTTGTTAGAAATGAAGGATATTTCAAGCTAAATATGTTTCAAACTGTTACTGCTCATTTTCAGCAGGGTTGGCAATTGAATTAAATTACATCGATCAATGTTTGTCAAATATATAAAAAAAACTTACTCATACAGATTAAACATTTAGCAGTTTGTAGTATGGAACCCAAAAATGACTGGTCAACATTGTCTCTACCATTTTAGAAACTCACGAGGGACCATGTCAATTGTCACAGTAAGTACTTACAGTACGGTCCACAAGAGTCTGTAGTTGAGGGAGGAGCCAATGAGGATCGCATGTTGTTGCCAAATCTAATAATACCAGCTGATTTTAAGTATTTTAATTAGTGTCCTCCATAGGCGATATGACTACTTCACACTAGCCCTGTCTTGTGATTGGCTGACGCCAACTGCAGACTCTCATGGACCCTAGTATAATTTCCTGTTTCCTAGTTATTTCACAAAACAGCTGATGTTTTTTTTTTCAAATATTTCTAACTTTTGTTTAACATGGTTTCCTTGCCATTGGCTAATTGTATTTTAAGGAATAAACAATTCCTTCCATACTTGATTTTCTTCCGATTTTAACTGTTCAAAATATTTAAAACTTTTGAATTCTGCTGAAGATGACGTCTCATATTTTAAAATGTTTAAAATGAAATAATCTACATTTGAAAGCCTATGGTAACTACATAAGTAGATTTTTAATATTACAACTGACTAATAATTCAATTTTTACAAAGGCTCATCTCAAATTACTTTTCAGCCTTTGCTGGAGTTTTGAACTGGCAGCGCCGGATGTGGATGACGGTGGCTGAGATGCGTAAAGCCGCTACACTGCGCCAGACAATTGCGCCACCTACAGACCTGGCGCAGGTAGAGGAGCTACTGAGAGACAGCCGTAACTACTATCTGAGGAGCATCACTACGGCATACAACACAACACATCAACTCAACAAAGTCGTGTCTAGCCTGCAGGGACTCACTGGTGACATGAGGGTGAGATTTTCATTGACTAAAACTTAGGGAAGTGTCGACTCTCGATACCACTGATTCTGGAACATTGTTAGGCTTATCGAGAATCAAGAGTCGATGCCAATACCAAAGCGATATCGAGACAATTATTTGCGAAGATGTGACCGTAGGAGATAATAATTTCACCATGAACAACTTATACATAGACATGTTTTATTTACACTAAATGTTCATTATAATGTACAATTCAAATGTAACAACAGGTGTTTTGTCATAGTCGTAGGCCTATATTTAAAAAATAAAATTAATAGTTGACATAAACCATATTTGGCTATCAATGAATTTTTAAAACTACAATATGGGTTCTCCAAATATTCTCCAGGTGAATTTTATACTTATCAATTATTTACTTTTTTATTTGATCTTGGAATTGTGTAATATTTAGATTTATTTAGGTACAGAGTAATCCATTGTACAATCTAAGTCCTAAATATTGAGGGCTCTTTCTAAATATTAATATTCATATTGTCAGAAAAAGTTGACCTCTTGAAAGAAGGTTAAGTTGGACAGAAAAACTTACGTAAAGAGGAAACCTTTCAATCTGTTACTATGTTGTCAAGAAGACTGCACTTATGTAAATTTCTCCACAAATCAGACAATCGATAACTCAATCGATCCTCTGCAGCTCACTTTAAACTGAAAACTAATAAAAAAATAATACTTTCATTCCTATTCAAATCTTGAATTAAAATGATGAAAGGTTTTTCTGTTTCAGAAATACAGGCAGGAATACCAATGTCACAGTTGGCAGTACTTGCGAGCCCTTGCTACACAGGTGGTACTAATGTCTCCAATAGCGCCATGTTTTGCTGCTCAGCTGTGGGAAGGATTGTGTGGGTTGCCAGCTCTGCAAGACTGTGATGAGTTTGATGTTGGTAGCCCTGCTCATTTACAAGCCTGGCCCCAGATAGACAGTGATTACGAGTTGAATCTAGTTTGCATGGTAAGTTTGTGTTTTCTTCATTGGGTTTAAATAATGTTAATTTTTTTAGGTATTTACTTGGAGTGAGATTGATATTTTCCCTTGTAATTGATAGATGAGACTAGCATACCCTGTAGCAGGTTTGATGTCAACAGCCACTATGGGTATGATTTGAAGATAAAATATAAATGCATTGAATCAATCAATCAATCAATTATTTAAGATGGGGACGCCAAAATGTGCGTATTTTAACCCAAATATGAGTGAAGGATGAGTGTAGGATGAGTCCATTTAGTTGTCAGCTCTAAAGTTTATACATATATTACTACTACAGTTGAACTAAGGGAATATACAACAACAATTGTTTTTTAATCAAGAGAAGAGTAAGAATTTGTAAGATCTGAGGACTATTCACTCTGAACAAACTTACATGCTACTTTTTACCAGAATATGAGAATACTATTCCTGTCTTATCATCTTCCTACATTCTTTAGCCTATTACATGATGTAATGATTGTTTGATTTACCGTACAACACTTTCAGCCTACTCACACAACATTTTCCAAACACTTCCTAAGGAAATATTGTGTTCACAATATGTGACCCCTCCCATTACAACTGCAACTAGATTTAAAATTAAGTATCAACATTGAATTCTCCTCTTGGAATATGTCAATATTGACTAGTGAGTTAGTGGGGTTACCTACGTAAGAGTACCAGCAGTATGTCAGTAGTAAAGAGGTCAGCTTAAGCCTTTAGACATCCATGTTCTAGAGTACTAGCAACATCCGTCACTTTATGACTTCAAAATCTGTGATATATTTGATATATAGTTGATAAGGATGAAAACGATAATTTCTCATCATATCCCTATTATTTGCATTGTGAGCCCTATTATGTTCATTGCTAAGCATAATCTCTTTGAGGTATCTTAGAAAAATTACAAATACTAATGAATCAGAATATGAAAACAATAAAAACCATTGTTTAAGTCATTTTATTCTTTACATTTTAAACAAACAACATTACAATATTTTACTTGAATTGCCTAAAACATCAATAAAACACATTATGAAAACACAAAATCTTATAATAACACTAAATCTAATGTAAGTCATTTTCTTCTTTACATTTTCGGTTATACAAATAACATTACAACATTTTACTTGAATTCACTGGAACACCACCAACTACATAACCCAATTTTCGTAAGGATGTAAACAAAATTGTATCATGGCCTTTTGATTTAAACAAATCTAAATTTGAAAAAGTTTAGATGATTGACAACAGAATTTAGCAAAAACTATGAAATTTTAAAAGCCTATAGGATGAAGGGCTCTCACGTAATATGATCCAAATCCACAAAAGAGACATCTACTGTAGAGGATAGGAGCTTTAAATTGTTTTGATACAGAATATGCCTATACAAATAAATATTTAGGGGTCGATTTGCTGCAACAAAAATCCAACAAATTCTTCTAATTAAATAGATTCCTTAAAATTGTAAAATAAAATCAAAGTACGACCCTTCACCTTGTTCATACTTTGTGTTTCTTAGTGCTTACTTTATTAACCAAACTGCCTGTAATAGGTAAATGGAGCTGTGAAAGATACACTGAAGATAAGAAAAGATCAGCTAGACCACTTGACTGTGGTGTCAGCTAGTCAGCTGGCTTTGAACAGCTGTGAAGTGAAGAAATACACAGATATGTCACCTGTTTTAGATGCCCACCTTAAGTTGTACCCTGGTGTGCATGCTATGTTAGATCTGCAGGTGGACCCTACAAAAATTAAAAGAAGTAAAGAGCCCAAAGAAAAGAAACCAAAGAAAAGAAAAACATTTACAGGGGCTTAGATAAGTATTAATGTTTAGTGTAAATTATACCATTTTTGTAAATAAAAGAAATTATAACATGTTTTTCAATTGATTTCCTTTATTTGAGTTTTAGAGTGAATCTTGAGTTTGCACTAGAGTTTATAAAATATACAGGGTGGTCATAAATTTAGTATATTGAAGCGTTATTATGTGCCTAATGGTTACGGAGAAAATTCCAAAAATCTGTAAATTTTAAATTCCCATGTTATTTATATGGAGAATAAGTAAACTGTTGTAGTTTGCTTGTTTATGAATTATTATGTTTATGATCAAATTTGGAAAATGCATTCAATTCATACTAAACTATTACTTTTACAAAAAAATACCTTTTTACCCCTTCTGTTGCAGCAAACCTAAGTACTCGTTAAACTAATGTTATTTAAATAGGGAATAAATGTGATATTTTAAAGGAGACATTTTAGTGGAAATCCAGTAAGGCAAATGGAAATTCGCTTAGTCTGCAGGTTTCCTGTGGCGGGGGTATTTGTTCTGTGTATGGTTACGGGTTACGGTTAAACTTATTTTCTATTAGCAATTCCTCCATCACTTAGTCTCATAATGGTGATCTCACGATTGAAGCATAAAATTGGTTTCGGGAGTCTGCACGCCTCAATTTGTTGTTCAATATGCATTTCTATGGCGTTCTTTATTCTCATATGGTTTGTTTTCATCGATTCGGTTCAGTCCACTTATTCGAACCAGTTCAGTCCACTAACTCAATCCAGTTCACTCCACTAACTAAATCCAGTTCACTCCACATTTTAGATCCAGTTTAGGCCACTAACTCAATCCAGTTCAGTTCACTTTACCAACCTAATCCAGTTCACTTCACCTACTAGATTCAGTTCAGTACACTAACTCGATCCAGTTCACTCCACTAAATCGATCCAGTTCACTCTGAGAGTTAGTGGAGTGAACTGGATCGAGTAGGTGGAGTGAACTCGATCAAGTAGGTGGCGTGAACTATATTGAGTTGGTGGACTGAACTGAGTAGGTGGAGTGTACTGAATCGAGTCAGTGGAGTGAACTGGATTGAGTAAGTGGAGGGAACTGGATTGAGTAAGTGGAGTGAACTGGATTGAGTTAGTGGACTACCCTGGATCGAGTTAGTGGACTGAACCAGATTGAGTAGGTGGAGTGTACTGAATTGAGTCAGTAGAGTGAACTGGATTGAGTTAGTGGACTAAACTAAATCGAGTAGGAGGACTAAACTAGCTCGGGTTGGTGGAGTGAACTGGATTGAGTTAGTGGACTAAACTAAATCGAGTAGGAGGACTAAACTGGCTCGGGTTGGTGGAGTGAACTGGATTGAGTTAGTGGACTGCACTGGATCGAGTTAGTGGACGGAACTGGATCGAGTACGTAGAGTGAACTGGATTGAGTAAGTGGAGTGAACTGAATTGAGTATGTGGAGTGAACTGGATCGAGTTATTGGACTGAACTCGATCGAGTAGGTGGAGTGAACTAGATTGAGTTAGTGGACTGAACTGGATTGAGTTAGTGGACTGAACTGGATTGAGTAGGTAGAGTGAACTGGATTGAGTAACTGGATTTAACTGAATTGAGTAAGTGTAGTGAACTGGATTGAAGTAGTGGACTGAACTGGATTGAGTTAGTGGACTGAACTGGATACAGTAGGTAGAGTGAACTGGATCGAGTAGGTAGAGTGAACTGGATTGAGTAAGTGGAGTGAACTGGATTAAGTTAGTGGACTGCACTGGATCGAGTTATTGGACTGAACTGGATCGAGTTATTGGACTGAACTTGAGGAAGTAGGTGGAGTGAACTGGATTGAGTTAGTGGACTGATCTGGATTAAGTAACTGGATTGAACTGGATTGAGTAAGTGGACTGAACTGGATTGGTTTAGTGGACTGCACTGGATCGAGTTAGTGGACTGAACTGGATCGAGTTAGTGGACTGAACTGGATCGAGTAGGTGGAGTGAACTGGATTTTGTTAGTGGACTGAACTGGATTAAGTAACCGGATTTAACTGGATTGAGTAAGCGGAGTGAACTGGATTGAGTAAGTAGAGTGAACTGGATTGAGTTAGTGTACTGAACTGGATTGAGTTAGAGGACTGAACTGGATCGAGTAGGTAGCGTGAACTAGATTGAGTAAGTGGAGTGAACTGGATTGAGTTAGTGGACTGAACTGGATCGAGTACGTGGAGTGAACTGGATTAAGTTAGTGGACTGAATTGGATTGAGTTAGTGGACTGCACTGGATCGAGTTAGTGGACTGAACTGGATCGAGTTATTGGACTGAACTCGATCGAGTAGGTGGAGTGACCTGGATTGAGTTAATGGACTGAACTGGATCGACTTAGCAAACTGAACTGAATCGAGTAGCTGAATTGAGTTAGTGTACTGAACTGGATCGAGTATGTGGAGTAAACTGGATCAATTAGTTGGAGTGAACTGGATTAATTTGGTGGACTGAATTGAATTGAGTTATTGGACTGATTTGGATCGAGTAGGTGGAGTGATTTGGTTTGAGTTAGTGGACTGAACTGGATTGAGTAAATGGACTAAACTTGATTTAGTAATCAGATCAAAATGTATTGAGAAAGTGGATTAGACTGGAGTGAGTAATTGGACTTAACTGGATTTAGCAAGTTGACTGAACTGGATCGAGTTAATTATATCGTAAACCGTCTTATACAGAAACTAATGTTGCAAATTTCCACACTGCTCGCCTTTACTTTTCTCCTCAGTTTGGAAGTCCCTTGGCGTTCCCCATCCCAGACACCTGAGTTTTCAATGGTGTCATTTTCTCTTCAGGAAGTGGGGAAGAGGCTTGTTTGTTTGTCCCTTTGTAGAAGTGTCCCTTTTTTTGGGGGGGGGGGGAGACACCTTAAGAATTTTCTGAAAAAAATATGAATTAATGATTCAAAGAATTAATTGTGAATAAGTTAAGTCAATAATTCCAAAATGCTTTTGCTTTCAAGATGATTTTAAGAAGAAGAAGAGGAAGATTATGTAGGAGGGGGTTCAAGAATAAGATGTGAAATACAGTAAATAAGGGATCTATTAGTTATGAAAATTGATTAACGCAACTGCTTTTAACCTTTCCCGTACTAGTAAAAACTTCAATATCAATCCTAAGAACGCATTTATACTCTGAATGATCAAAACTATTTTGTAGTTTTAATTAGTTAAAAAAAATCGTTCGGTTTTAACCTCAGTTGTTGTTTTTGACCTTTGTGCTCAACAGCGTGCTTGACGGAGCGAAAAGGATGTAATTTATTTATAAACTAATTTACATTAGCCTAACTAAATATATATATAGAAATATCTCAGTTTCTACAATGAAATCTCAATGCGGCCTAATACGTTTCACAAACCAGTGTCTTCGAAGTACACTGTTCCTGTAAAAACGCTAGGGATAATAGCATAGATCAAACAAACTCCTAGTCTATGATAAAACAAACTCCCTTGTGTTGCTTAGTCTATGATAATAGTGAGTAAAAATACCCGTCCGTACTACGTTTTCCAAACCATATATTGTACATACTGAATACATCTTAGTTTTCTGTACTCAATTATTTAAATCCGTGTTAGTTTCAATTTTAAAATATGTTAGTGACTAACATATTTTGGATACAACATTATCCAAAATATTGATTATGAAATCTACGTTACATTCTGAAAAAAATACTTTATGACTGAATATTATGCATTTTTACACCATTTACGATACACTTTTATATTTTCAAAATTATTCTCTTAGTGAACATGCCGCAATTTCCCATGTTGATATAAAAGATTACTACTTAGTTTGTATAAAACATGTCTGTGACCAAATAAATAGGTACCAAGTTTTATCACAGTTTGTGCAAATTATGTAAGTTAAGTGAGTAAATAAACTACGGTTCCCTAACCATTGACTATGATATATCGCCAAGGACGCGTGAACGTGCGTGCATGTCGCGTGAGTTTGGATCGTAAATAAAGAAATATGTCAGCAGCAATTAATTGTCCCGTCCTTCCAGCTGGACGATTATCTGCAAGAATAATGACTGCGAGACAAATAAAGTAAATACTTATCTTCTCCTTGCAACGCCTCAACGTTTAACGCCACGTTACTGGCGAATAGAAAAACTTGTGAAAACGCTGTAATACAAGTTTTACCAAAACACTAGAGATACGCATTTTAACTAATGGTCAATGCTAACACATTGCTTGAAAGTTGCCTTGGTTACTTCACTAAGTATTGTTTACTAAAAATGACTGATAAGAATCACATTTAAGTATCATAAATACCATTAAATATAGCATACTGACACTTAAATGACATAAAATGGTAAAAAAAAACATAAACTTTGAAATCATATTAATGAATTTAGAAATATGTTCAATTTCGTGTAGCAATTTAACGCTATGATCTGAGATAAGTTGAAGAGTTGAGTGCATGAAGGGTGAATTTGTGTTGTAAAATATCGTTAAAAATTATAAAATGAAATTATTTTTAATGTTATCGAAACATATATTTCACACCTGCCAAATCTCAATTTCCACTCTTGTTATGGAATATTTTCACCACACTGCAAAATCAGCTGTTTTAAATATAAATTTTGCGGTGATGGTAGAGGTAACGTTTTCCCGTTAAACTCGGGCTTTCGAAAACCCTTACTTGTGATTAAAAATAATATTTGATAAATAATTTCATTCAGTATGTTTTAACAGTCATAAAACAAACAGTCCAATGCTCAGTTAATGAATATCAAGATATCATGTGACAGTACTCAGCTGTGAACGTACAAGATGTATCGGTGAACGTCAGCCACACACTGTACAACTTAACTACTGTAACTGTAACTGTGTGTGTGTGGTGGTACTGTCGTTGAACAGCTGACTCTTGACTCATTGTTGCTGTTCTGTGTTCAGACTGGCTAAGTTTTAGTGGGTTATCGCAGTGCCATGTCGTTTAGGTTATGACTATTGTTTGTGCATTGCAGTGTTGTCTGTGTTCGTTTACCAACTCAAATGTAACTCAAATGTTTAATTATTGACTAATTG